TTCACAGTAAACATGCAGCACCACACACCACAGTCCGATCGTGGAGTTTCCCTCATTTAGGTCCCAAGGTAAGAGAGCTGAGTATGTGATTCCACCTCCCAAGTTAAGCATCTGCACGCCAGATGAAGAGGACAGCAGCCAATTCAAGTGGCAGCGGGAAGCAGCAGACAAATGTATTTCAGCTCACGCCTTGTCCCGATGACTTAGGCATAGGTATCGCTGAGTCGGTGGCTTGGGTTACGGAAATCGGAGATCTTCAGTAGCGTCTGAGAGCTCTCCAGGTCTGCACAAAGTCACTGAGAAGCCGATCAAAGTGGGAACACTCGTTCGAGCAACGTTCACAGACGGAAACACGCCTGATGACATCACAAATGTCAAAAACGCTGATCCAGAGAGGGGGACGGCGCTCCCACCAAACCAGGGGTTGAAGACTTCTGGGCTTGTAACACGGCCTCCAGCAGAGGACACCCAGATCATTCCTCACTCCGGTTTTCGAAGCCAGTGGTCTCCAAAGTGGGGTGCGCAAAACAATCCATCAGGATGTGGGAAGGAAACAGTTGAACTTCTATTTATTTTCATTTTACGCATGAGAAAATATACAGAGATGGTATATTCTCAACACTAAACGACTTCTTTACAATACATTGGAATGAGACGGGGAGCAACCATGAAAATGTCTCCTACCACATGGAGATTTGCTGCTTATCTTGCGGCAAAGGGCTTAAAAGAGCTGTTGAACTTAAAGGAGTTTTGTTTTACCAGACAACAAGTGTTGCAAACTTGCCAATGAGCAGTTGCTGTCAGTAGTATGCTACCTAGGAGATATTGTCCAAAAAATGAACACACTTAAGGTGTCCCTTCAAGGTGAAGGTGCCACTTGAACAATGAGGGATAAAGTAACCGCTTTTTCAAAGGAACTTGTGCTACGGGGAGAGCATTTGCTAAAACCCCCAAAATGCAACACCTTCCAGTTAGTTTGCAAGCACAACTGCCCGACACCAGGGAAGAATTTTTTTTTTACCAGCCAAGAAAACCCTTTGCCTAAGCAGTGGATGGACTGAAAAACAAGTATCGGGGTTTAATACGCGCAGCCGACGATGCACTTCTTCCACTTGGGTCTACGCATCTGCGCGAGGAACTTTTTTCTGCAGTGACAGTCATTAAACCAAGTATCAAAATAAACTGGACTGAGAACCAGCCCTTCGGATGGCTGTGTCACAAAGTGCTAAACCAAGATTTCAAAACTAATGAAGCGTAGGCAATCACAGAGCCCTCACTATAAAGTATTATTATTCATGGTATTTTTTTAGCAAGAGCAAAAAGAGGGCTTGTACCATTACTAGAGTAAAATAAAAAATAGTTTTCAAATACTGTTCGTCTTTATTGCCTACTTTTTTAATTTCTACTGCCTGTGTACGTCTTATAAGGTACCTAATATATTAGTACAGGAGAACATACGTACAATTTATAAATAAATAAATACACATATATTGGGGGGCGTATGCACAAAAATTTTTTACTGATAGGAGTGTGCCATCAAAAAAACCCCTTAAATAGCAGACAGCAATGGTGAGACAGACCTTTCCTTTCCCCAACCCTCTCCAGCAGCTTGAGCCCATTTCCTCTTGTCCCATCTCTTGTTCCTTGGGAGAAGAGCCCAACCCCCCCCTCCCTGCCCCCTCCTGCCAGGAGCTGCAGAGCGATCAGGTCTCCCCTCAGCCTCCTCTTCTCCAGGCTGAACACCCCCAGCCCCCTCAGCCGCTCCCCACCAGCCCTGTGCTCCAGACCCTTCCCCAGCTCCGTTGCTCTTCTTTGGACATGATCCAGCTCTGCAGGGCCATCCTCCCCCCCAGCAGATCGACACTCCCACCCAACTCGGTGCCATCTGCAAACTCACTGAGGGCGCACCCAATGCCCTCCTCCAGATCACTGATAAAGACATCAAACAGAACTGGGCCCAGCACTGCGCCCTGGGGAACACCACCTGTGACCGGCTGCCAGCTGGATTTAACTCCGTTCACCACAACTCTTCATCGAATCGTTTGGGTTGGAAAAGACCTTTAAGATCATCCAGTCCAACCATTAACCTACACTACCAAGTCCACTCTAAACCAGTCAAGGGTAGACTGGACTCAAAAGGGTAGACTAGACTCGGGCCTGGTCATCCAGCCAGTTTTGTACCCAGTGAAGAGTGTGCCTGTCCAAGCCATGAGCAGCCAGGTTCCCCAGGAGAATGTTGTGGGAAATGGTGTCAAAGGCCTTACTAAATGTAGGTAGACAACATCCACAGCCTTTCCCTCATCCACTAAGCGGTCACCAGGTCATAGAAGGAGGTCAGGTTAGTCGAGCAGGACCTGGCTTTCATAAACCCAGGCTGGCTGGGCCTGATGACCTGGTTGTCCTGTATGTGCCGCAGGATGGCACTCAAGATGCTCTGCTCCACAACCTTCCTGGCAACGAGGTCAGGCCGGCCTGTAGTTCCCCGGATCCTCCTTCAGGCCCTTCTTGTAGATGGGCGTCACAGTTGCTAACCTCCAGTCAAGGGGGACCTCCCCACTTAGCCAGGACTGCTGATAGAGGATTGGAAGTGGCTCGGTGAGCACTTCTGCCAGCTCCCTTGGTATTCTTGGGCGGATCCCATCCAGCCCCACAGACCTGTGCGTGTCTAAGTGGTGTAGCAGGTCACTAACCATTTCCCCTTGGATTACAGGGGCTTCATTCTGCTCCCCATTCCTGTCATCCAGCTCAGAGGACACCGAGAACACCCCGAGAACAACTGGTCTGGCTATTAAAAACTGAGGCAAAGAAGGCATTCAGTACCTCAGCCTCTTCCTCATCCTTGGGTCACTATGTTTCCGCCCCCGCATCCAATAATGGATGGAGAGTCTCCTTAGCCCTCCTTTTGTTGCTAATGTATTTATAGAAACTTCTTTTATTATCTTTTACAGCAGTAGCCAGATTAGGTTCTAGTTGAGTTTTGGTCCTTCTAATTTTCTCCCTGCATAACTTCATGACATCTTTGTAGTCCTCCTGAGTTGCCTGCCCCTTCTTCCAAAGGGTTCCAATAAACTCTTTTTTTCCTGAGTTCTAGCCAAAGCTCTCTGTTCAGCCAGGCCGGTCTTCTTCCCTGCCAGCTCATTTTTCAGCACATAGGGATGGCCTGCTCCTGTGCCTTGAAGACTTCCTTCTTGAAGAATGTCCAGCCTTCCTGGACTCATTTGCCCTTCAGGACTGCCTCCCAAGGGACTCTGTCAACCAGGCTCCTAAACAGGCCAAAGTCTGCCCTCCGGAAGTCCAGAGTGGCATTTCTGCTGACCCCCCTCCTTACTTCTCTGAGAATTGAAAACTCTATCATTTCATGATCGCTGTGTCCAAGATGGCCTCCAACCATCACATCACCCACAAGTCCTTCTCTGTTCGCAAACAACAGGTCCAGCGGGGCGCCTTCCCTAGTTGCCTCCCTCACCAGCTCTGTCAGGAAGGTCTCTCCCACACACTCCAGGAACCTCCTGGACTGTTTCCTCTCTGCTGTAGTGTATTTCCAGCAGACATCTGCTAAGCTGAAGTCCCCCATGAGAACAAGGGCAAACAGTCGTGAGACTTCTCCCAGCTGCTTATAGAATATTTCATCTGTCTCTTCATCCTGGTTGGGTGGTCTATAACAGACTCCCACCATGATACCTGCCTTGTTGGCCTTTCCCCTGATTCTTACCCATAAACACTCAACCCTTGCATCACCATCGTCAAGCTCTAGACAGTCGAAACAGCTGCTGGTGCTGGAAGGGGCCTCTCCAATGACCCTGGTCACACCAACCTGCTCATTTCAGCATGTCCGTGGGCAGATCGCTTCGTTAAACACGAACCTGATCTAAGAGCAACTCCTCTGAGAGAGCACACGAGCCGGGAAGTTCTTTGGGGCCAGCTCTGCCTCCTCTCCTGGCAAACCTCTGCAGGGCAAGAGACCCCCCCCCAGGACATCCCTCGATGCTCAGGGTCTGCTTACCGTCACCCCACACAAAGGTCCTTCAGAGCACATGGCATTAGCTCAGCATGGAGGGATGCGTGGGTACACTCCACAGCTCTGCACGTGGCCAGCATATTTATATATTTATATAAAAATAAATACCAGCGTATTTACACACCGCTCAGTACTGGTGCAGTGTCCATCTGCATCCTTGCGATCAATGTACAACTGCCGTTTTGGGTCATTTACATCGAGTATCTGATCTCAACTCATAAAATAAGCCAGCTAATGAAGTCTTCTCCAGACATCCATTAAGAGTCTATAATGCTAATTTTATGTAAAAATCCAATAAATTTCCTCACTGAATTAACATTACAGACCTATAGTGGACTTTTACATCCGCTCCAGTGGCGGCAGGGATGGTCCCGGCACA